CAGTGGAATGGAGTTACGGGCTTGTATGGGGGCACTGGGATGGACTGGGAGGGGATTGGGATATACTGGGATGGACTTGGAGGGGACTGGGATGGACTGGGAGGGGACTGGGATGGACTAGGAGGGGATTGCGATGGACTGGGATATACTGGGAGGGACTGGGAGAAGGTTGGAGCATGGTATGGGGCACTGGGATGGAGTTACAGGCTTGTATGGGGCACTGGGATGGACTGGAAGGGGACTGGGAGCGACTGGGATATACTGGGAGGGACTGGGAAGTGATTGGAGCTGTGTACGGGGTACTGGGATGGAGTTACAGGCTCGTTTGGGGGCACTGGGATGTACTGGGTTATACTGGGAGGGGGTTCTGGTGTGTCCAGCTGGCCATCATCGAGTACATGCCGCTGCTGGCCGGCCAGCTGGTGAGACTGGGAGCGACTGGGAGGCAACTGGGATAAACTGGGAGGGGCTGGGAGAGGGTTGGAGCATGGTATGGGGCAGTGGAATGGAGTTACAGGCTTGTATGGGGGCACTGGGATGGACTGGGAGGGGATTGGAATGGACTGGGATGGACTAGGAGGGGACTGGGATGGACTGGGAACGACTGGGATATACTGGGAGGGGCTGGGAAGTGATTGGAGCTGTGTACGGGGTACTGGGATGGAGTTACAGGCTCGTATGGGGGCACTGGGATGGACTGGGATATACTGGGAGGGGACTGCAAGGACACTGGGAGGGACTGGTAGAGACTGGGATTGAACTGGGATGGACTGGGATTGAACTGGGAGTTCTGAGATGGACTGGGATATACTGGGATATACTGGGAAGCACTGGCAGGGGTTTGTTCTAATTGGTCCATACTGGTTTGTGTGCGTTCATACTGGTTCATACTGGTTTATATTGGTTCATACTGGTTTATATTGGTTCATACTGGTTCATACTGGTTTATACTGGTTCATACTGGTCTTTACAGGGCGTGGAGTTCTTCGATGAGAAGCTGAACTCGCTCTGCATGG